GAATAACAGTGTCCCCACAGTGGATTAGTTTGCCTCTGAGCCCACGTGCACCGGTCACCATGACAACCGGCGACACAAGCGCACGCTCGCTGTGTCTCACTCCCTCACACGGGTTATTAGATGTCATTTGTTTAAAGCAATGAAAAAAGAGAGAAAAACCGGCACTAATGCTTGACAAAGTATGATCTCACGTAAAAATAAATAGAAAAGGTGTTTCAGATGGAAGCAGACAGCAGGACCTACAACGTGTGTTTTAAGGCTGTATGATGATGTCAATATGAGTCAGAAAGGAAAACAGGTTGAAAGCCTGAAGATAGAAGCTACAGATCACGGTGAAAGTCACCAGGAGGTCGAGGCAGAAGACGATGAAATGAACAGCATTGTTCCGGGACAGTTTGGCTCGTACATTTTCTGTTAAAATCACTAAAATATATGTGCAGACAACATGCTTTTAGAAGGTAGAGTAGAAGAACCAACACTAGTTAATGATGAGCAAACGTAACATACTAAGAACAAGCACATATATCCTTCGAATAATCACGTTTTGCAGGTACACAACTCCAGAGCAGCGGGTTGTGTTACAGGTGGAACACAAAAGCGTGACACAGAGACCCGAACCGAGGACCATCACTCATTAGAGTCCTGGCTGTAATAAGCCGAAAAAAATATTCAGCCTAATGGTAACATCTTTAAATCGGCAGTCCGCACACCAAATGGAAGTGTCACGGTGTGGTTTCACTTCCTGTTGTATTTTGTAGTTTTCTGCCACTCGTGTCCCCGGGTAACTTCACTTCCTGCCTTGTCCCGTCATCCCCTGTGATCGTCTAATAGTTTCCACCTGTGTCCAATCACCTGCACCTCCCTTGTGTATTTAAGCCATGTGTCTCCTGTGTCACTTGTCGCGTCATTGTCATTTGCCACGCATGTCCTTGTCTTTCGTCTTGGATCGCCGTAGTTTCTCGTTTTTGCCCCGGTTCCTGTGTTTTTTGAGCTTTGACTATTAAAGTCCTTTGTGTTTCCTGTTGAACTCTGCGTCTGAGTCCTGCCTCCCACCCGCAACCCTGACAGGAAGACGTTTACAATGATTCAAGGGCCCAAAGCTGTTCCTCAAAATCCAGTCAACATCTCCTCGTACAGAAAGAAGTCTGCTTGCATAGAAGCGTCTTCCAGGAAATGCTTTATTTTTTCTCGCTTGATTTCTTGACCTTTACCTCAGAACGTGGTCTTAATCTCCTCTTTGATACAGGACGATGATGGGAGGCAGAGCCAGGACCCAGACGCAGAGTTTGAAAACAAAAAGGACTTTAATAGTCAAAATTTTAAAAAAAAGGCAAAACGCAGACAAGAAGCAGGAACAGGCAAGAAACTGACATGCGGGCGGGACACGCGGGTGGGACATGCGGCATTCAGGGTTGAACAATCAAGGACGAGACGAGGGACACATGACACACAGGGCTTAAATACACTGGGAGGTGCAGGTGATTGGACACAGGTGGAAACGATCAGGCAATCACAGGGGATGAAGGTACAAGGCAGGAAGTGAAGTTAACCCCTCCAAAATAAAACGGGAAACAAACCCACATCGTGACAGTTTGGTCCGTTTAGATTCCAATAGATCATGAGTATTCTTTAGGTTGGGCTTGCTGTGTTTGACGCTACGTTGTCCGTATGTTTCGCTCTGTATTGCACGTGTGGTAACAATAAAGCGAAAAGATGGCGGCGGCCACATCCCAAGATTGTGAACCAAAACTTGCTGAGCTTGAGGCTTCAAAGCGGCAGTTTAAAATATGTATGTACGTCGCAGGATCGAACCACTTTGAGCTTCTCAATGACTCAAACACCAACTAGAGGTACTCTACAGGTACTCTACCTGTAGAGTACCTGTAGAGTATAAACAGAGCTCTTGATGTCGGTGCATTCATCTGTTTGGGTGTATGACCGAGACTTAAAGGTTACAGAGAAAAGGGCTTTTTTTGTGGGTCATTTTAAATGTCTGTCGTTGAACTACATTAAAGAATTCATCAATGAAGGCTCCTCTTTGTTCTCCCGAGATGTTGTGAAGTTGTTGCTCCCGATTCAGACACTTCTCCACCTCAAAGTGAATTGTAGTCTTTTGAAATCGTCTTAATGAAACCCGACACAGACTGCGTTAGCTGCAAAGCAACGTTGACTCACGTAAGTGCGGCTCGCAGTCTGCAGACAGACACTTCAGCGGATGCGTCGCACACTCAGAGTGAACATCTCATTTCCTGAACGCAAAATAGCTGTTTCCGTGCTCCAGTCACATCAAGTGACTAATCCACTTTGCTCCTCAAATGTAGTGCACGGTGTTTTTAGAGGGTTTGGTTACAAACTATAATAAATACAAAGATATGGTCATGGCTTGGGAATAAGAGAACTCTTAACATCCCCAAAGTGAATGTAGGTGAATCCTGCTAAAACAGGGGGGCTCTGTGCTGGTGGACGGCGTTGGTTGGTGACGATCATCATTTGCACCACTAGAAACATCGACGCACAAACATCTGGATTACCAGATGACCCAGAACACCGTGTGCGTCTAGGAGAAAGAGCACAGACTTTCTGTCTTACTAAGGTGGAACATTATTGCAGTTTTTCCAATGTTTATATATATAACAGGCCGTAAAATTACATGTTACACATGTGCAAAGCGGCCAAGGCTTTTTTCTTTTTCCATTTGGGTCGTCGTGGCGCAGGGGTGGAGCGGCTGCGCTGGGAACCGCAAGGTTGGTGGTTTGAGTCCCCGGCTGCTTCATGTACCATGTTGAAGTGCCCCCGAGCGAGACACCTAACCCCTAATTTGCTGCCTGGGCAATAATGTAAAAAGCCGTAAGTCGCTTTGGATAAAAGCGTCAGCTAAATGACCTGTAATGTCCATCAAGGACCAATCGATGAGTTTCTGTCTTCTTTAAAAAGTTAGTCAAAATAAAGCCCTATTTTCACAGGAAACACAGTTTTCTGCTCATTACATGTGTGCATCTTTTTAGGTCTACTTCTGCAACAAAAGTACTTCCTCAAAATGATTATGCTTGCTTCTTAAAATAACTACGCTTACACAACGGCCCTGAGTTAAGTTTCCCCTCTCTCTCTCTCTCTAACCAGGGTCTCTCTATCAATCTCCGCCTCGACACAGCCACCGGAATCTTTGCACAGCAAATATAGCTGTTGAGCTCGTACGTGTTTTGAAGAGAAACACGATTCAGCGCCCAGCAGCCCCCGCCGACGGTGAAATGGGAGATTAGAGGAGGCGGAGAGCAAGTGAGACGAGAACTGTGACAATGAATTTGGGACACGAGGGATTGCCGGGGGGGGGCTTACATCGGGGCGGTTGGGTGATCCGTGAGTCCGATAGTGTCCGAGGTGATTTGCCATGTAGTATGTGAGCAGCACCTGGCTCAGGGGGGGTGTAATCCTTCAGAACAGAGCCTACTTTGCCAATGAAAACCCTTTCAAAGCTGTGACTTGATGAAAATCTATATGCATTATCTTCAACTGTTTCCTGGATAGGCAGATATGGACCGATCAGGGTTTGCCGTCCGTAATGTTGTCTGACGCTGCAGGAGCCCGTCATGAGAATAAGAAACTCTTAATGGCCAAACATTGACAGGTGGGAGTTTCCCCGAGCGTTCACCTCACAGCCACCGGACCACAGCAGAACTAAATGCATGGGTCCTTTTCCTCAAAGTACGTTCCCAGCTGTCAGCTCAGCTCTGTCGGGTAACGCGTCGGGTATCAGACAACAGGCGGACCTTTCGCCATCAAAAGGTTCCTGCCCGCCAGGGAGTCCAACTCAAGTAGAACTGCCCTGTTCATGTGACTCGGCAACTTTGGAAGAGCCGCGAAGTGCTTTTACATTCTTCCCTTGATGGTTCGTCAAGCGCAAACACCCTGTGAGGAGGCCGCGATACGAACACACACACACACACACACACACAGTGATGGAGCTCCTCTCACAGGCATTCTGATTAATTATAAAAAGCAGGCCTCTTGGCATGAATTAACCATAGCAGTAATTCTGGCTCCTGCCAGGACAAAGTGGTGGTTAGTAGTGTATGTATGTGTGTGGGGGGAGGGGGGGGGGCGAAAGAACACGGAACAGCCCTCCTGCTCCTGTGATTGAGCAACTGAAAACATGGCGTGTAGAGTCAGCGGGGGAGGGGCCTATTCTCACAATTTTGTGTTGTAGAGGCGGAAATAAAAATGGACATCAATGCTGGCTGAGACCGAGATGAGGTGTCTATTGGCGGTTTGATTAAATACCTGAAGTATCGAGAGAGAGAACTGTTGGAAAGATCTATTACTGCCTTCTCCCCTGCAACCAAACACGTCACGCATGGGGGGGCAGTTTTGAATCCTCCAGGGCAAGTGAATGGCATGTTGCACCTTTTGCTATTGTATTGGATTTGATGTGCATTTTTACCAGATATATTAATAACTACACCAATCAGAAAAGTTGACCACCAGGGTGGGTCAGATGGTTGAAGTGTAACCAAATTCCATCTACGTGTACGCGTGTGGTTGGGCCCTATTAGTGCCACTGTCATGACTTCACGACGGACCAAAAGCACATAAACATACAGTATAAATGATGTATTTCATGCATGGCTGTGTTGGCCCATTCGAATTTGTGTCTTATAGAAAACGATTGCATGAATCTGCGTGAACACAAATGAATATTCTAACATCGGTATGAGAGAATTATGCTGCTTTGCAGTGAATATCACGAGTCGTGCACGGACTGATCATCTGTGCACGTTATCGTGTGTCATCATCAGCAGAACTGTTAGATGTTTAAGTGGCTCAGAGGGAATAAATGGCTTTCACGCAGCAAGCAAGACAACGATGCACAATCCTGACCGCCCGCTTATTAATCATTTAAGTATGACGTGGTTTCTTAATGATGACCCCCCCCCCCATCCCACCGGCCCCACCTCTTCCCGGAGGCGAACGCACGCGAAGTGGGCGTGACGTCGTGGCGAGCCGACGTCACGGGGAGCTGTTCGTAGCCGTGCGGTGCTGAAGTAGACGACTCTCCTTCGCCTCCGCCTCTCCCCCCTCAGTCGCCTTCAGCCTCGGCGCCTCGCAGCTCCGCGGCCCGTCGGCCGCCCCCCCGTGGATTTCCCCCCCCGGCTCCAAAGACCCGCTTCGTCCCGCTGCCCGGAGAGCGCGAGGCCGATTGACGGCGAAAGCGGCGTTTCGCGCATCACGCGAAAGCCCACGCGAGGAGGGAGAGAGATTTACCACAAGTGAGTCGCCCGCTTCCCTCTGCGCTTTAGGACCGGGTCGGAGAGCCGCAGGGGGGATTCTCTGCACCCCCGTCGGCTACAAAGGCTAATAGAGCATTCCAGCGTCTGTAGCGTAATAACGCATTTACAACCCTGCTGTGTGTGTGTGTGTGTGTGTGTGTGTGTGTGTGTCCACTCAGCCTTCCAGCCGCGCCTCATTCTCCCCGTGCGTTGGCCTGGGGTGCAACATTTGACTCGTATTTGCATGATCTAATGGTCGGCGATGCTCTCTCTCTCTCTCTCTCTCTCTCTCTCTCTATCCAAGGGGCTCTTTTGCATGAACGCCTGAGATCAGAACAGCAAGTCAATATGCTACAGAAAGCTTCTCTCGTGTTACTTCAGTGTGATCACCTCGGACTCAGATGATTGACTCTGCTCGCTCTCGTCGGTCAGCTGTGATTTTCCACCCATTTTTTGCTGCCACAGGTAATGCCTTCATGCTTTTAACTGGTCGTACTGGAGGGTGATGTACTGGGACCGTCCGGTCCTCGGTGGCTGGTGATGGGAGAGGAGGCGTGGAATCTGTAGACAGGTGTTCGCTCTTTTTAAATCCGCGGTACATTTAGGTGTGGCCTCTCCTCTCCTTCGCTCTGACCTCGTTTCCTTTTCTGTTTCCTCCTCTCCTCTTTTCTCGATCGTCCTCTCCCCTTTCTTGTTTCCTCCTCCCCTCTCTCTCGTTTCCTCCCCTCCTCGTTTCACTGCCATGGCTCGTGTGGTGAGAAGGAGCCCATCGGGTTCTTTCCTCCTTTGATTGAAAGTGACCACACCGCTCATGGTGTGATGTGCCTCTCCTCCTCCTGTGCATCAGCTCAAGTCAGTGTTTGGAACCTTTTGTTGGTTGACTGGTTTCAGAGCTGAAAGCAGCGGAAATGATTTCATTAAAGCTTCTGTTCCCCAGAAATGTCGACGTCTTTCAAACTTCACGCTGCGAAGTGTTTTCCCCTTTTTATTTCCCTGCATGTCCTTAAGAAAATATCCCTTCAAGGCACAAAAGACTTAAAACCTTGTAGTTCCGAACGCTGTTGAAATGGTATCAAGGGAGTAAATAGGAGTCCTCTTCTCAGACTGCTGTACAAACAGACTTCCTTTTGCAACCGGAGCAGTCGCCCCCTGCTGGTTTTAAGATACTTTCGCATTAGCTCAACCCGGCAAGCACAGTCGGACGTGTGAAAGGTGACACTGCTTGTGCCTTAATTGGGGCGGGCTGCAGAAATGTACCCGGAGGGTTTAGCCTGGGATTTGGATTTGGATCAGTTTAAGTCTTTGCCCGGTTTTCTCTGCCACAGTAATCCTGTCCAATACACCGCGTTTGCATATGGTGCCGCGACTTATTTAGATGCTTCTGCTGCTTTGGATCGGCCCTCCAGAGCAGCAGAAGGCTTTGCAATATGTCCGCGTCTTTAGACGTAATCTGGAGAGAGCCCTTTTGAGTCGGCCCTGCGCCCCCCCCCGTCGGGGCTCCACCTGCGTTTCCCCCCCCTGGAGACGCAGCAGGCAGGTGGTTGAGTGAAGGCTGCCCAACAGGTCCGGGAGTCCAGTGACACCTGATAGCCGGATCTGGTTTCACTGCCTGTGTGCAGGCGGAGGGACATGAGAGGGGGACTCGTCAGTATTTAGTAGAGTGCATGTACAGAACTGGATGAGATGGATGGACTGTTCTTTATTCATTATAAATGTTAAACTCAGGTAATAAACGTGGACCCAAGCTGTTGCCTAGCAACGGAAATCATTTGTAATGCAGAGACGGGATGAATACAGGTACATTCAGACCGACATTATGAAAGAAATCAAGTGTTAAACATGAATGTATGTCAACATGTTCAAGTACAAAACCAGGATATCGGTACCACTGTCCATTTATTTGAGAAACGCTCGTTTTATAATTCATTTTTCACCCCAAACGCAATCATTAATTGAGTTGATTTGATTCAGCTCCAATCGGTTGATTGGATCGTAGGTTTTCCACATGCTGCCAGCTGAACAGCTGTGAGTCTTAACAACAGCGCAGTTTGATGGTCGATGTTGAGGACTTGGAGACTTTCTTGCCACAAGTTGGATCCCTTTTGAAGATCTAGCATACTATCGCCACTATTTGTCATTTGTTACCTAGCCAGAGTTAAAAGGGGTCTTAAAAAGATCTTAAGCTGCCACGAAGGAGGCTTCGCTGAGGCACAGCGGTGCTTCGGCACGCTAACACGATTACCATTACGATGCCAACAAGCAAATATAACGTCTTCCATTGGTTAGAAATGAAAAGCATTGGATACACGTGTGAACGGGGATGAAGAAGTTGCCATATGGAGAGTCCTTCGTTTCAATCCAATTAGGTTGACAGTGATTTGCATTTTTCAGTCAAATTAAAACAGACTTGGAACTCATGTGAACCCCTCAAGGACTCTTTAAGCTCCTCTGGGACTCATCAGGGTCCCCTTCAGACCTCCGCTCCCGGGTCCTGTCTATGGAGAGTGGAGCCAACACAACCACCACTCCTCTTCGTCGGGCTCTTCTTCAGCACGGATACAAAGACCGCGTTTTTCTTTGCGTGCTGAGGCTTCACACCCCCCAGTGCCCCTCTGCTGTGTCCTGCCCCCTCCTCTCCCAGCTGCTCTCACGTTGGTTTGAAAGGGCTATATTGTCAGCATGAGAGGGCCGGGCTTTCCTGCTCAGATCCACAGGCCTGATTCCAAACGGCTCGGATCCCCTCGCGGCGGTGAGAGGCCTCCAGCAGAGGCGAGAGGCCGGCTCCTCCTTCCAATCAGCCGGCGCGACGCCCGAAGAACGTGAAATATGCATCGTGTGAAATGTGGATGAACTTCCAGTAATCTGCCCTTTTTGTGCATAGTGTTTATTAACTTAACCGTGTTATTTTTACACGTTGCCGTGCTGTCTGTGTCACTTGTGTGGACTGTGCTACTTCCTCATCACTGTTGATTTCACCTGCTTAAATACATTAATAAATAAAAGAACAGCTCGGGAACCAGAACACACACATTCACTACATTGGGAGGAAGAATGACATTACGTCTCTGAAAACAGTAAGATAATGAACAACTCGCTCCCCTTTGATAAGATGGACCGTGCGGTGCATACACGCTGTACGTACGCACATATATGTATTTATACATATAGATGGACTGTATGATTACAGCATGTGGCTACTTGAGATGTAATTAGACCCTTTAGAGCTGATTAGAGACCAGTCCATGTATGAGCATTCATCAGCAGCCTCTCCTCCACCCTCTCTGCTCCACCCTTCTCTACTGCCCCCTTTCATTCCTACTCAGGGTGTGTGGCCTTCGTCCTTTCATGTGGGCGCCTGTGCTTTACGTTTCTCCTCCTCCTCCTCCTCCGTTATTGTACGTCAGCCATCCGGCCCGTCTTCTCTGCGTCCTCCATCTGTTCCCTGACATCCGTCCTCGCTGCCACGGGAACTTGGATCGTGTATTGTGGAAACTAAAGGAGAGCTCCAAAGCAGCGCGATGGATGGAGCCGTGTGCTCACGATACACTTGTCACTGATTTAATGACCCTAGTCCACCTAATTTGGAAAAGCAGCGAGGTACATTTCCTTCTTTAGTAGCTCATTTATGTGCAGACGAGAAATTGCCTTTTTTTTGTTTGCATATGTTTGAATGTATTAATTAATTTGCCTCCTAAAAACTAAACAATAGAACACCTGTACTCAGCAGCTTCACTTTATTTCTGCTTACAAGCAACTTTTCCATTATCTTAACAGACCCTCATATTCATGTGGACAGTGTCAGCCTGTGGACAACGTCTCCTGTAAATAATATATGCAGAGCGACGATGTCTACGTGCACGTCACCAACGCCACGTGTCATCCTCGCTGAAAGGTTGTGAACTTGTGTTGTGTTCTGAAGCTCCTGGGTGAGATGGTGATGGAGGTCCATCACGCTACCTTCCTTGAGGTAGGAGGAGACGGCGCGTCGTTTGAAAATACTTTCCCTACTGCGTCCGAGTACTCATTGGTCACGTGACTCTGCATTGATTTGTAGTAGTGCGTCTCTTTCTGGTAATGTTGCATCTCTTTGTCGTTGTTGTAGTCATGTGACGACATGTAGACCGATGTCGATATCCTTAAAAGCCTGTTTAATCAGCTCAGTCAGGGTTCCTCCCCCAGAGTGATCGAGCACACCTGCACTCTAGAAAATGCCACCGTAAATTAACGGTATTTTACTGGCAGCAAGGACGCCAGGAATTTACCGTTATTTTCCGGTATAATTCCCGTAAATGGTTTTACACTATGTTACCGTAAAATGGATTACTGTATGTTACCATAAACTTGAACGAATTTTACTGTGAATTAACTGCAGTGTACTGGCAGTCGACGCTAGTAACTTACTGTTTTATTTACAGTGCCCTACCGTAATTTACGGTATGTTATATTGGATATTGGATTACAGTTTCTTACCATACCATTACTGTTTTTGTGTTATAAATACCAGAATGTTACTGTTTACTTTTAACAGTATATTTTTGCATTTAATTTCCCACAAATTAAAGAAAGACAACCAAACTTTTAGAGTTTATTAGATGCCTTTACGACAAAAATGTTCGGCATTTGTAACCAAGATCAAAACATAAAATATGCCGCATGTATACAATAATAAAAAATGAATCATAAAATCATTAGGAACAAGGTAAACTAACTGCAACAATACGCTATGGAACACTTACAATTGACCGCAGCAAACGGCTGGCGTCCTTAATCCAAAAAACAAACAAACAAACCAAAATGAAATATTTAGAAACTTTTAGGCAATGAACACTTTGAATAATACAAATATTTATAATCTTTACATTCCGCCTACCGAAACAACAGCGAAGGCGGCGCATGGGAAAGGGAGGGTGTGCTGTGCAGCACAAGGTTGTTGGTTTGAATCCTGGCTGCTCCCTGTGCCAAGTTGAAGTGTCCCTGAGCAAGACCCCTAACCCCCCATTACTCCACATAAAATTATGTCAAACCATGGGCGTTTTGGATAAAAGTGACAGCTGCATGTATAGTAATGTCCTGTAAGTCAAAGTCATCATCGTATCTCATGAGATACTATCTCATTATGATGACCTACAGGACCTGTTTTTCATGGGCTTCCATGCATTATCCTACAACAGATGTAGATGGATTGAGATTCACTGCACGTGTGTATGTGTATTTCCACCACCTCATAAAATATATGTAACATGCAGTTGAATTACGGTAGTCTGCTATTATTGTAAATTGACAGCTTTAACTGTTTATTCATGACATTGGCCGTTAATTTACAAGCACGGGATGGAAATTTAACTGTATGTTACAGTTATTATGACATACTGTAACATACCGTAAATTTACAGCAATTTGTTACAGTGTGCGTCTCATCCCTGTTTAGTGCCTGTCCAGATGTTCTTCCCCTGAGACGGGGTTAG